AAATGTCTTTTATGGAGGGAAGAGGAGCCCAGATGATCATTTTCTCTGCAGTTCTCATTACTCTCCTCACCTTCTTCCAGTCTGTGGCGTTGCAGCCTCCACACCTCACAGTGGGACAGCTGGTCAGAACGCTACAGTTCTGGTTTAATCTAGATTAAATAATTACAGTGTTACCTTCAGTCGTGTTGAGATAGCATCACAGGATTGATAATCACAAAATGTTATTTTGAGCCAATTTGTAAAAACTTTCTCTTATTTGTTGCATCCGAATTTATCAGTTTTACTTACGTTCTAATTATGATTTGACCAAAACTGGTCCTTTTCATATAAATTAAAAAAAATATGTAATATTCCCGTATTATGAATGTACATTGATGTAATATTCCAAATTACATTTTTATTTAGCAATTATTTCAGTCGCTTTTTCCCCCATGTTAATTTTTTTTTCAAATATTATTTAAATTCAGTAAAATTACATTTTTCAAACAAAAAATACAACTCAGTATAATTGGCACTTCTTTTTTCTCTTATCTGAAGCATTTCAGCTACTGACAGACACATGCATCTGATGTACATCAACAGTTGACACCAACTAAACATCGCTGGCATGCAGACTGGATGAATTTAACCAAAACAAAAAAAAGTGTTTCCCTATAGTTGGTGAAAAGGTCAAAGGAGCAGCTCTTGGGGTTTGTTAGATCGCAGGTATAACTTTCTGAAGGCCTGGTGTGGACGTGTCCCCACCAATAAATTCTGCTTTTTTCTCCCTTTCTGCTCATTTACTGTAGCCAACAGTGACTGGATTCGAGTGCAGCTGTGTTCAAAGTGTTTTCAGTCTCTTGGTGTTACATCATGGGATCTGTCACTTTAAGACATAATATTATTGGGGTGGCTATTCACTGCATACAGAGTAGCTATGAGGTTGGAGGACAGACACAGCAGTACTCAGTGAATTTAAGCGGCAGCTACTTCAATATAAGTTTAAGTAAAAGTTAGGAGACGGGTTTATTAAAAAAAATTAGATATGCCACCGAACCTCCAAATGTTAAACATTTGGAGGTTTTTCAGCTAAAAATGGCAACTGATATAAGTTTATACAAGTTAGTTAATAATGCCATAGGTTTGAAAAAATGTTTAAACGTTTTTTTCTTCTTTACTAGTTATAAAAAAAAAAGTTGGGCTTCTCAGAGGACCATGACTCACAGTTTCAGGTTAAAATGAACACATATCTGTTGTTTTCTTATTGAAGAGCTTATAGATATCTTGAAAATGAGTTTCTCTGGCATCATGACAATAGGAGAAAGGTTCATAAATCTTTTTTAAGCAGAGCAGAGACACAAGCAGGGAGAGCTACAGATTTAAGTGTAACAGATTTACTGGAATATGCAACATGGAATAAAATATGTCTCCAAATTTACCAGAAAGTTTACAAGAAAAAAAAATGCTATGCTATAATTAAATTCAATACATCTGGTTGTCTTGTAATTGTCATTCTTTTTATACATTAACCTTTTTTTTAGCCCTTTACAAATAATGACCTTAAAGGCATCTATCTAACAATCTAGAAATATTTCTGTACTGTGGTACTCTTGCGTTCTAAACAATAAGAAAGAATTCAATAAAAATACGTTTGAGCTCATTTTAGGAAAACGAAAAAACCCTAATGAAAGCAATCTGGTCCAATAACGATAGGTCTAGAGGGACAGACATACCAAGAGGACGGATGAAGAGACATACCAAGAGGACGGAGGAAGAGACATACCAAGAGGACGGTGGGACAGACATACCAAGAGGATGGAGGGAGGGACATACCAAGAAGATGGAGGGAGGGACAGACATGCCAAGAAGATGGAGGGACAGACATGCCAAGAGGATGGAGGAAGAGACATACCAAGAGGACTGTGGGACAGACATACCAAGAGGATGGAGGGACAGACATACCAAGAGGACTGTGGGACAGACATACCAAGAGGATGGAGGGAGGGACATACCCAGAGGATGGAGGGACAGACATGCCAAGAGGATGGAGGGACAGACATGCCAAGAGGATGGAGGGACAGACATACCAAGAGGACGGAGGAAGAGACATACCAAGAGGACTGTGGGACAGACATACCAAGAGGATGGAGGGACAGACATGCCAAGAGGATGGTGGGACAGACATGCCAAGAGGATGGTGGGACAGACATGCCTAGAGGATGGTGGGACAGACATACCAAGAGGACTGTGGGACAGACATACCAAGAGGATGGAGGGACAGACATGCCAAGAGGATGGTGGGACAGACATGCCAAGAGGATGGTGGGACAGACATGCCTAGAGGATGGTGGGACAGACATACCCAGAGGATGCTGGGACAGGATGGGGACTGAAGCAGCCCGCAGTGTCAGGCCGCTGGATGCTCCGGCTTCATCGTTTGATAAGAATCGAACCTCATGAGGAAGAGGCAGAGCAGGTGTAGCGTTCAGACCTGAGCAGGACACATTCTGTTATTATCCAGTTTTACTTGGAGCTGTGGTTCAACATTACGGCGAGAAACGATGCAATTTAGGAGATAAACAGTAACACATCTCACCTTTCAGAAGGTTGGTCTCAATAGTGTCTCTCACCAGCTTCCAGTGAACCCCTGCGGGTTTATAGACACAGAACAGGCCCTCCAGACTGCGGAACATCCGCATAGCTGGACTCCTCATGGCGCAAATTTTACTTCAACAAAATTTTACTGAAAATAAGCAATGTCATTTGAAACGTCTCGGCTTTCTTAGCTTTCTAGTTAGCAAAGCAAGGCTGAACGTGGACCTTTGCGCATGCGCACACACATTCTGTGGAATGGTGTCTAACGCTGAGCGGACACTGCCCTCTACTGGGCTGGCTGTATTTAGAAACCAACTATTTAAATGGTCATATAAGAGCTGACAGAGTTTACATGACTTTGTTGTTAATTAAGATACGTGATGTAAGACTGAAACTTGGAGTATTGGGCGTTAATATATTTATACGTATTTATATATTTATAATACATAAACCAGTCACTAGATGGCAGCAGAGGTTCGAAGGTCAAATTATGAAGCAGACGGAAAGAACATGAAGACATTAAACTTGACATTGTTGATTTACTACAAAAGGAATCAGGAAGCAGAGGATATCAGGTTACATTTGAGTATTTGAAACAGATTAAATTCTATAACAGTATAAAGTTTTTTTTATTTTGTTTTTCTTTTTTTGCCATGTGTTCCACACTTCTTACCACTTGGTGGCGGTAATGCTCACCTAACATTTTTCGCAACCGACATAAACAATTTCAACGGGAAGAAGAAGAACAACATGTAGAGGAAGGAGAGAACGAGTTTGTATAATTTTGCTTTTAAATAGCTGCTGATCGTGAAGACTTTATATCGGTAATGTTAAAGCTTTTCTGTTCTCTTCTCTAAAACAACGTAAAATGTTGAATACCAGGGAGACTCAGACAGTAAATCTGCTTTTTTTCTGTATGCTGCTGATAAACAGAATGTTATAAAACAGGCTACTGATGTGTTTATGTTCAGTGAAATGTGTCAAGGTCAGTGAGAAAAGATTACTTTTTATAAATATATAGCTTCTCTACAGTATTAGTTGGATCTTTTGCAGGTTTGATCAAACTCATCTAAATCATGCAGGAAACATGCAGCTGGTTCTTGTGACAATCTGGATCTAAGCAAGAGTTATGAAAGTTTACTGGAAAGGTTTTGCATAAATCGATCCCAGGGTGGAAAGACAATAGAAAAGCTTTGAGGAAGCCAAGTCAAACAGTGTTATGCTGAAAGAAATGGAGGAAAACACAGTAATTAACAGGCTATAGTGGAATGACAGCTGGGCTGCAATTAACATTATTTAGCAAATCAATTAATCTGTCGATTTTTCTGGATTAATTGATTAATAATTGGATA